TACACAAAACAGGAAAAATTGTTATTATTAATATATTTATATATATTAATTATTGATTTTAACGCAAATCTCCACACGAATAACAGAACATACTTATTTGCAATAAACAACAAAATGATGTTTTGAGTTTTGACAACAAAACAGGCTTTGACTCTGTGCTACGTTGTAGTATATGAATCTCTCCAAGAAAATGGGGCAAAAAAAGCATATGTATCTCCTATTATTTTTATTCATAGACTTTGAACTGTACACTATTGTTCTGTTATTTTGGTTACGTTTTTTTACATAAAAATACACCCTACTTCTTATATATAATTTAACAATACTTTCAATTATGTTATTGCCGCAGGTACAAAACATTGTTTTTTCCAAACTGTTGAGTACCATATTGCATATTTGATCATTTTTAATGTTATTGTTATTTAGAAGATGTAAAGTGTTTCGAAATATTTTTTCCATCTTCACAAATCGGCATTTTTATTGAATTTAACGCAAATCTCCACACGAACAACAAACACACGCACTTGCAATTAACAACAAAATGGTCTTTAGAGTTTTGACAACAAAACATGTTTTGACTTTTTGTGCTACGTTGTTTACACCAGGGTAGACAACACAAAACACAACCAAAACATCTGACATTTAGTTACTTCAGTGCAACCAACACAATTTGGGACCAGCCAGGAGACCCAGGTGACGCTACTATATGTAATCTAGTGGCTATAGAGCGAACGCATGTATAGGAACTGAGCCATGGAAATCCGTGTCTGCGATTGGGTTTCGTTGGTTCAAGTGAAGCGACGTTCTGACCGCTTCAGTTAAAGAACTAGAGGCATAAATCGTTCGGTATTCAACCGAAAACGTCAGCAGAAAGCGTAAAAAATAAAAAATCATCTACAAGTGTGCCATTTCAACATATTTTTGTAACTAAAAATGCATTGAAAGATCTTTTTTAATTACAAATTAAGTCAATCTGTTCTTAAGATATATGCTGTGAGGCGCCGCCTCACTTGCCTCATCTGACGAGCCGCCACTGGTATAAAATAATATAGTCCTACACCTGTAGTGTATGAATCCGTTTTTACCCAAAATGTGCAGATTTTTGGAAAAAATCATAATTTTATAATATTTTGCAGTTTAATTTTAAATCTGCAAAACCGAATGCTTTGAAATCGTGCAAATATTTTGAAGTTATGATAAGCATGGTACATTTTTAATCAAAATATAATTGCTTGTCCTCCCCCCCCAAACAAAAAATTGATGACGTCACTTCAACATTTTATCTAAAATGTGCAAATTATGATGAGTTTAGTTATATATTTATGTGGCATTAATATGTTTTAGACTTGCTTATACAAGGTAACCGCAAAAATTTAATTGTCAAATGAAGAATTGCAAAACCGAACGCTCTAAAATCTTGCTGACGTTTTGAAATTATTGTAAGCGTAGTAAATTTTTAATCACAATATATATGTTCATTCACCCCAAAAACTAAAGACCTCGTTTCAGAATTTTGCCCAATCAATCAATCCTATCGCAAATGAAACCATAAAGAACCATATGAAATACCGTACCACAAGCATGAAAAATTTAAGTGTTGCTTTGCATATATATGTGTGAAAATTTTGAATGAATACGATACTTTGTTTAGATGTAGCACTAGGTTTGATTGTGTTAAGAGTCGGATTATACGAAAATCACTGGAGAAATATCGCGATGTACACTAGGAAAACCTCTTTATCAATAATAAATCTCTTTGTCAACAATAAATTGAAGTACCAGGACATACTTATGTTAAGTAATTTATTTTTGTTATATAGTTAATAGGGAACGTTGAAAAGCGCTTTGCGAATCGTTGCCCTTTTAGATGTTGTACACTGTACTTGTCTAATAAAACCATGTTTATGTTTATGTTTATGTTTAAATGTGAAAAATGTGATGAGTGTACACTTGTGATTTATCATTGCCTTAATATTTTTAGAATTTCTTATACAGGGGGCCTCAAAAAAATTAATGAATGAGTAAAATTATTTTATTGAATAAATGAGGAACTGCAAAACCGAATGCTTTGAAATCCTCCAGGTGATTTAAATTTGTTGTAAGCCTAAAACACTTTTAATTAAAACATCTATTTATCCCCCCAAAAAATTGATGTCATTTCAAAATTTTACGGACTAAATTGAAAATGTGCAAAATATGAGGGTGAGGTGACGCAAAAAAGATAATGAATGAGTCAATTTATTTTATAGATTAAATCAGTCTAACCACCCTTTTCTGGAAGTATTGTAATCGAGTCCGTTGGGCGACTCTCTACTTTTATATTTTCTCAATCTTTCAATGCCCCTAGAGTACGAAGGAATAAGTCACCTGTTTACGTCTGTCTGTCTGCCTGTCTGTCGGCCGTATGTTTGGATTTTTAGTAGACAAATAATCTCTGAAACTAGTGGAACGATTGCTGTCAAATTTTATATGTGTATTAGGAGTATCGTGTAGATGGCAAAATGCTAACCAACAACAGCAACAATTTGATGACGTCCGTTCATTATATTGCAGAATTAATATTGATTTTGTATGAAATAATATACTCCTGTACTTGTGGTTTACGAATATATCTTGATTTTTTTATTGTTTAAACCGTCTTGCCTTTAGCAAAATAGAACGTGACGCTCATATAGCAGGTTTAACCAAGTAGGAGAATTTCTGCTTCCCGGGGTCGGGATCTGAAACCAGCGGGCGCCGTTTTTTTTGCATTAGGTAAAGTGAATCTATTATAATGAATGACTTTCTAATTTTTTATAATAATAATAAAAAATCTTTATTTCCTACGGTATTTACACCCAGTTACAGGAAATATTGATCTTCTTCTTCTTGAAGTGCCTATCCTCTGTGGATGTCGGCTATCACATTTGCCCACATTACTCTATTTACCGCCGCTCTAAATAGTGCGATTGAGGTCAATCCGGTCCATGATCTTAAATTTCGCAGCCACGATATTCTTCTGCGTCCTGCTGTTCTATGACCTTCTATTTTGCCTTGCAGTATTAGCTGTAAGACGCGGTATTTTTCCCCTCTCATTATGTGACCGAAGTATTCCAATTTCCTGTATTTAATAGTTGTTAGGAAGTTCAGTTTTTCATGAATTCTCTGCAAAATGGTTTCGTTTGACACGTGATGGGTCCAGGATACTCTTAGCATGCGGCGGTAGCACCACATCTCAAACGCGTCTACACGTTTGCACGATGCATCAGTGAACGTCCATGCTTCCGCTCCATATAGGAGAGTTGGTAGTATATAGCTGTTTAGTATCCTAATTCTGGTTTTTATGTTAAGTTGTAGGTTGCATAATACATTGCGCATTTTGTTGAATGTGGCTCTTGCTGTTTCTATTCGATGTTTTATTTCTCGTGAGTGGTCCCAGTCTTCATTCAGAGTGCATCCCAGGTATGTTACAGAGTCGACTATCTTGAGAACTGTGTTGTTAGCGGTAATTTGTGGATTATGGGTATTATTTTTACTGATGATTAGTATATGCGTTTTTTTGGTGTTCAATTTCATCTCGTATATGTTACATGCATTAACTACACGGTCTATGAGTCTTTGAAGTCCTTCGGCGCTGTCAGCTAAAAGGACAGTGTCGTCCGCGTATCTGAGATTGTTTACTATTTCCCCGTTTATTATAAGACCATCATCTGTGTTTTCCAATGCTTCTCTGAAAAGTTGTTCTGAGTACACATTAAACAAGAGAGGCGATAATATGCATCCCTGCCGTACTCCTCTTCTTACGTTAAATGCTTCTGATACCTCATTATTTATTCGTATTGTGGCTTTTTGTTCTTTATATAAGTTTGTTATAATTTTTATGTCTCTCTCGTCAATGCCTGATTCTCGTAGAGTTGATATGAGTTTGGTGTATTTAACTTTATCAAAAGCCTTTTCGAAGTCCATAAAGCATGCGAATACATCTGCATTGACGTCACGGGCACGTTGAATCAGAACCTGTATGGAGAATAGCGCCTCCCTGGTACCTAGACCTTTCCTGAAGCCGAATTGGGTATCACTTATGCTTGAGTCAAGTTTTTTATATATGCGTGCTTGTATAATATTAAGGAACACTTTTAGCGGGTGGCTCATTAAGCTGATTATTCTGTGTTCGCAGCATTTGGTGGCATTATTCTTTTTTGGGATTGGAATAAAGGTTGATGTTAACCAATCGTTTGGTATTTTGCCTGTTGTGTATATTTTGTTGAAGAGTATTGTCAACAGTTTTATTTGCTCTGATCCCAATAATTTCAAAATTTCACCGTGTATTTGATCTGGTCCGGGGCTCTTGTTGTTTTTTAGTCTTTTTATAGATGATTCTACTTCTTCTTGTGTTATTGCTGGTCCTTCTTCTGTGTTTGTGTTTGTCATGATGTCGGTATTTTCGTCTCCAAACAGTTCTTCCATATATTCCTTCCATCTTGCGAGTTTATCTTTTGTTTCACTAATACAGTTATTATCTGAGTCCAGCAATATTCCATTAATTTTCCTTCTCTGTGTTCCTGTTGTTTCTTTGATTTTTTTGTGTAGGTTAAAAGTGTCATATTTGGCTTGTAGAATCTCCATTTCGTCACATTTCTCCTGCATCCATCTCTCTTTAGCCTCTTTGATTGCGTGTAATATTCTTCTGTGTAGCTCTTTATATTTATCATTATTCTTGTTCCGATGTTGTCTTCTTTCTTCCATCAGTTCGAGAATTGTATTTGTCATCCATTCCTGTTTTTTAATTCTTTTGTCGGGTTTTAGTTCTTTTTCCGCAACAGATGTTAACGATGACTTTATTTTGTCCCATCAATCTTCTAGTTCCAGGTCAGATGCGTTCTTTTCGGAAATTGTTTTGAGTTCAGTATTTATCCTGTCCTTTGTTTGTTGAAACACGGTATGTTGTTTTAGTTTTTGCATGTCAGCTCCTCGTAATGGTCTTCCTTTGCCAACCTTCTTTAGTCGGAGTTTAGTACGTGCTAGTAATAGGTTGTGGTCCGATGGTATGTCTGCTCCTGGGTATGTTTTGCAAGAGTTACTGCGTTTCGGTATTTTTTGTTTATCATTATAAAATCAATCTGGTTTCTTACGATTCTGTCGTTGCTGTCTGTAGGAGCTCTCCAGGTATATAGCCTTCTGGGAGGTAGTTTGAAGAAGGTATTCATAATGGTGAAGTTCATTTCTTGACAAAATTCTATTAAACGTTCACCCCTTTCGTTTCTTGTTCCTAGTCCGAAATCTCCTACCACATCTTCTATTTTTCCCAGCCCAATTTTGGCATTCATGTCGCCTAAGATGATGTTAACTTCTTCTTTCTTCGTATGTTTAGTTGCTATTCTTATTTCTTCATAAAATTCTTCGATTTCTTGTTCATTACTGTTAGCTGTTGGTGCGTATACTTGTATGATATTTGTGTCGAAAGGGTTTGATTTGATTTTGACCAATGCTACTCTGCTTGAAATGGGGATAAATCCTTTTATACTTTTGTTGGTTTGGTCATTTAGAATTACTGCTACGCCATTTTTGTTTTTGGTAGTATTGTCTCCGGAAAAGTATATGTGATGCTCATTAATGGTGCATTGACCTGAATTTGGCCATCTTGTTTCACTGCATCCTAGTATGTCGATTTGAAGTCGTTTTGCTTCTTTTATTATGTTCGCTGCTTTTCCAGGTTGATACATACTTTTCACATTCCATGTGTCAATTCTTTTTTCCTTGTGAATCTTAAAATCATTTTTGTTTTTATTGGGTAACCGGGGGATTCTTCGCACCCTCTCCCCATCTAAGGGGTGCCCGGGACTGAGGGCCATTGTTCTATTTTGTGTGCTCATCGTGATATCTTGGGGAATTTGTATGAGTCAGGTAGTTTCCCGTTGCTTTCCTGACTATGTGTTCAGCCGCTCCTACTTGGAGAACAGACGCTGTCGGACTACCGCTCCTAACATGGAGACCGTCGTGTCCTTTGTGTGCTGGTTTTGGTCTGCCCCGAGTATTTGATTTCCTCGGTACCACTCATATCTGAGAGGCGTTCCCCTATCCGCCACCTGGGGAGGCACCCGATGGAGGACCAGCAACCCCACAAGGGAAATATTGATAAATAATTGATTAATAGAGTGAGAGTGAATACATAAAGATAACAAAATAATTATAATATTGATTACAAACCAAAAAACCCTAAAAAAGAGAAAAAAAAATAAAAAACTAAAAATAAACCTATTTAACAGAAATGGTTTTTAATACAATTAGTAATGAACTTAATACAGTCACTATAAATGTCACAATAGGCGGCAATATCATTGAATAATTCGCACATTAATGCAATAGGCGATCTTACTAATACGTTGGTTCTGCTTGATTCACAATAGAATATGTTACTTTGTCTAGTATTAATCCTTGGAATTAAAAAATTGAGTTGTTCTAAAAGTAACGGACAGTCTATTTTATTATTTATAAGATGTATTAAAAATTTTATTATTATTATAATTCTCCTTAAGTGGAGAGGTAAAAAGTCAAATCTTGAGAGTAAAGCAGAATGGTCATAGCCTCTTGCTGGGTAAGTACCATCAAGTAGAAAGCATAGAAATTAAAAAAAAACACGTTGGACGTGTTCAATATGTTGAATGTGAATCTGATATGTTGGGAACCAAATTAAAGCTCCGTATTCAAGTTGTGATCGCACCAGAGAAAATAATAGAGAACATAAGGTTCGTGTATAAGTAAAACCTCGGCAATTTCTGTAGATAAATCCGTACGTTCTAAAACTTTTAGATACCATCTCATGAATGTGCTCTATAAACTGAAGTTTAGTATCAAAGAGTATACCTAGATCCTTAATCCTTTCAGTTCTATTTATTAAACTGTTGTCAATTCGATAGGGAAAAATGATGTTCCCCTTTTTTCTAGAGTAGGTCATAGCAAAGCATTTATCTTTGTTTAACGATAATCTATTTTTGGAAGCCCAGTCGCATACTGAGCATATATTTTGTTGTAATTGTTGGCAGTCCAATGTTGAGGTAATTTTTACTCCCCGAGCGTAAGCAAAGGAAGTATTGTAATCGAGTCCGTTGGCCGACTCTCTACTTTTACGTTTTCTCGATCTTTCATGACCCCTAGAAAACGAAGAAATAGGTCTCCCATTTCCGTCTGTCTGTCCGTCTGTCTGCCGTCCCGGATTTTTATTAGACAGATAATCTCCCAAAGTACTTGACCGATTGTTGTGAAATGAAAACCCCATGCATGACTCGAACCGCGCAGTTCTCGTCTCCAAACGTGAACAGTACGCTATAACCTAACGAGTAAACATGTAGGTAACCATAAACAGTTGTATAAAGGGTTGGCGTACAATTTCGATTTTTTGCGAAAATGTCTTGGGGAAAATCTTAAGACGAATTCATGAAGTACAGGAATATGTTATTTTATAAAATTTAAACCCTATCTGACGGACGTACAGACGGAAGGTCGGGAGGCCTATTTCTTCGTACTCTAGGATTCATGAAGAATCGGGAAAACATAAGAGTAGGGGGTCGGCCGATCGATTCGATTACAATACTTCCATAGCTTATGCTTGCGAAGTACAAATGTTTTATTTAATTTAAAGTCCACGCACTAACTACAATATAATGAGTACATGAAAAACTACCTACCATCAGATATATTTGGGTATAATTTCAAAGATATCTCTTTAACACGAAGCTGAGGACACACGTGTCCACTACCGATTCGAACATTACTGACGAATAAAAAATATAAGTAGGAAGTTTGTACGCTCTCAAACAATGTGAACAGTTTTAAAACTCGCAACAACTATTCGTACTTACAAAATCCTTCATAATTTTAATGACCTAGAGCAGGCAATATTGTTAAGAAAAACAAATGTTTTTATACCCATTCATGCACTCATAATCTATAATACAGATTGTTCATCCTTAAAGTACGTCGAGTTTTACAAGAGAGTTCGAAATGTGCTGAATAGACTCACAGCAGCATATATTGGCACTATGCAGGATTTTAAGTAAAGAGGGGTTTCCCTTCCTTTGAATTCGGTTAATTATGAATGTTAATCATGAACTTTGTGACAGCTGCGCAGCAACCTAATATTTCGCTTATAAAATTTATAATTATTCGGCAAAATCTAACTAAAACTAGCAAATATAACTGAACATAACATTTGAATAAATTAATATTTTGCATCGCAGGTTGCGTCGAAATTTCGGTATAATCACCGATAGCAAACAAAAACACATTTTAATTATGAGACCGTGTTCGATCATTTGGATGATTTCACGCAAATTAGAGAGTTTGCTGTAAAGTAACGACGTGAGGTGCCTACTAGAGCGTAAATTTCTGGTAGGCTCTTTATTTCCATAACTACTTGATAAGCTGGTTTAATTTAACTCACCCCTAATTGGAGTATTATACGAATTAACAAGAAAGGAAGATCAAGGCTATAAATTAAAAAGAGGAATTTGTTGGACAGGATTATGATATTTACCTACTGCATTTATATAAAAAAAAGATGTGGTGTCGTGGGACACCAGGTAGGAACGAAGTTCCTTCGGCTAATGTAGAATCGACACAATTTGCAAAAAAAAAATCGTGCTCAATTTTATGTAGGTTTTCTTGATTTTTCTTTTAAATTTTGCTGATTAGTTTTTATTTAAATACAGGAAAGTATTTAGGAAATTCAGTATTTTAGGAAAAAATAAATTACGTAAAATAGGTAGAATTATCAAAATATATATACATATTTAAATGTTTGGAATTGAAGGGAGAATTTGTTTTAATTATTTAAAAAAATAATCAATAAACTTTTTAAATATTTTCTTTAGTTTAGAGGATATCTTTGCTTTATATCGTACCTTTCTTGCTTATTTTCAATTTTTTTAGCTTTTTCGCGTTCCCTATACGCTTTTTGATACTCTGCATAATCTCTATGAAGTTTCGTAGTTTTAATTATATGAAAATAAACGTGGCTACTCACGAGTAAAATGTATCTATAATGTGAGTATTCGCCACGTGCTTGTCCATGAATTCATGAGTATATACTATGCATTGGCGGGGTGGAGTGGTAATAGAGAGAGAAGGGATGAGAGAACGAAAAGAAAGAGGGAGAAAGAGAAATGTATTATCCACTACTCGCTTGTGTATACGACTGTCGCGCCTGCGCACGTCTCATTTAACGGTTTTCTTCCACGGACTTTTAATTAATACATATAGTTATTGTTCTCTTTTTTACATTTTTATATTCCATAATAAAATGCAATGTGCATTTCCTTTATGATAATTTTGAGACTTTTTTAAATAATAATATATAATTTGAGAATATGGCACTTTATTTCCACATTCATAATAATTACTTATTTTCTCTATAAACGCTATCATTTTTCGCCTGCGATCAATTGTCGCATGCGACTAGTTGTACTTGCGACGAATTGTGTTGCGACGAATTGTGTTGCGACGAAGTGTGCGCGACGAATTGACGCGGGACCCTTAATATTAGTGGGCCTCATTACCTCTATCAAAATTTGATTTTCGTGGAATCTCATTAATTTGAACATTAGAATTATCTTAAAGAATGGTGATAGAGAGTTACAATGATGGCAAGTATTTAAAATATGAGGGTTTTGGTGAACAGGTGGCTTAATATTAGTGGACCTCATTATCTCTGCCAAAATTTGATTTTCGTGGAATTAGTGCTGTCAATCAGAAAAATGTCCCCTGTCGGGGATTTTCCTTCCAGTTGGCAGCACTGCACACTGTGCACACCACCTCAGTTTGATTGGTTGAAAACCCAACGGTAACGGCGACGTAACGGTGAGAGATAAATGTTGGTCATCTCGAACGTCGTCCCAACGGCGTGCCAACTTCCAACGGCAACGTCAGTGGATGATATGAACAACGCAAATTTTTGCTGCATATTTATCTTGCAACGGCAACGTCAACGGTGAACAGCAACGTCAGCGGAAAGTTTATAAATCGATCTTAAAAGATGGGGAGTATCACTATAAACATAAAGAAAACACAATCAATGTGTTTTTGTGGGAAAACCGCACATTCAATAATGGGCAAAAAATTCGGCGTAGTACCTGGATTTGACCACCATAAAACACGAAAATTTAGATGAATTAATCGAAGAAAAAACATCAAAGTAGGAAAGCCATCATACCTCTAAACAGTATATTGTGGAACCAAACTATATCTACTTAATCGCATATAGCAGCGTCACCCAATATAAGTAATTCTAAAAACTAAAATATAAAATTTTGATAAACCATAGGTTTAGTATAAAATAACAATAAATATGTTGCATATTTTATTGAGGATTTATTCGACAAAACGTTGAGATGGTGCCATCAGTTTTTTGGGAGGGGATAAATAGATAAATTAAATTAAAAATAAATAATAACATTAAAACGTTTGGAAAATTTTAGAGCATTCGGTTTTCCAATTTCAAAGTTAAGTTGTAACATGTTGCAAGAAGATTTATTTTTTAAAAATATGGATGTTTAGGGAAAAAACTCAACACGGGTTCATAAACTACAAGTACAGGCGTATGTTATTTCATCAAAATTAGATGACAATAATTGCTGTAAATTTTGGAAATGACCACCTAATTATTATTGATGGGAATGATCAGTTAAATTTTGGTTAGCGTTTTCTCATCTACACGATATGCCTAACATGCTTATAAAATTTGACAACAATCGGTGAGGTAGTTTCGAAAATTATAATATCTATTAAAAACTGGTACAGACGGTAGACGGACGGAAACGGTACCGCGTCAATTCGTCGTGCACAATTCGTCGCGCGACAATTGATCGTAAACAACTGATCGCAGCGTCAATTGGTCGCAGCGACAACTGGTCGCAACGACAACTGGTCGCAGTCACAATTGATCGCAACACAATTCGTCGCAAGTACAACTGGTCGCATGCGACAATTGATCGCAGGCGAAAAATAATAGCGTTTATAGAGAAATAAGTAATTGTTATGAATGAGGAAAATAAATTAATGTGCTATATTTTCAAAAATTTCATTATTTCTAAAAAAAGTGCCAAAATAAATACATACGAGTTCCATAAAAACGGTAACTATTAGGCTCATTTCCGACTAAACCAAAGTGCAAAAAAGTGAAAATATTGTAAAATATTTTTTTTAATGCTGACACATCTCGTCGGTATGCTACTGTAATGTTCATTTGGATTATTCGTCTTATTGATTAGACGCTCAAGTAAGTGATTCAAGCTTTTCTTCTCACAAGTTTAAAGTTTGTCAATTAAACGAGTGAAAAAAATAGCTTTCAAAACGTGTTGGACGTCATTTTTCTTTAATAAAAAATGGTTTTAAAATTATTACAACTGTCAAATTAAAAAGTTATAGATAAATCGTGAAAAAACTCTCGTTACAGTTTTAAGTGAAAACGTATTATTTTCATTACGTTTGTTAGTTTAAAAAATTAAATATATACCTATATTTTTTAATAAATTTGCTGCGTAAAAGGAATTTTTAGAAATAATTTTCTCGTCATTAATCGGTTGCAAAAGATCAAGAGGCACTCGAAGCAAGCCCTGACAAACTTATTAGCGGCGCCAGCGGAGATCTCCAATTGGCTGCGGTACCACCATGGACACTCGCGTAACCTCCTTTTCCAGAATTGTCAAAATGACATTGCCAAACTCAAAGCAATCATGAATTAAGCATTTCATTTTAAATTCTGTTAGTATCAAGTGGTACATGGTATTCGTATTTTGGGTTGCGTAAAAATAATTTTCAGAAATAATTTTCTCGTGATTAACCCTGTATATGTATTTTTTACACCCACATATGGTACAACTGAATTTTTCTTCAGTACAATACTAGTCACATAATAATTAAAAAATAAGTTTTTAGTTGCATAAGTACCTACATTTCTTAGATTTCCCGGTAACACAAAATTATTCTTGACGCTCTAACAAAAGTTTTTGCAATATATATTTACAATACACGTAAACCTTTCTCAAACCCTGTAAAAGATCCGTTGCAATTTACAAGGTATTAAAATAAGTATTATATATCCGTCCAGTGGAATTTATATTCGCTGCATATGGATACTCTAGATGTACTATTATTATTCTGTATCAAAATGTGTTAAAATTTAAAGGTTGTTAAAAATATGATTTTTTAAATAACTGTAATCTAGTTAAGAACAATAAACACTTGTTTTTATGTTGAGTACTTATTATAATGAAGCTAGTTCCTATAATATAATAGGTAAAATAAGAAACGAGATAAATAGAAACAATCTCTTAAAAAAAAATAACCAAAATGACAATTTATTAATAAAAAATCTTATGTAACAAGGTGTTTACGCTCGTATTTTTTAATTTTTAAAGTGCAACTACAAACTTCGTCACTTATCTATATTCAAATTGTTTTTAATTCGATATTTACACCTTACCTGGTTGCTAAATTTATTGCAACTTAAAATTCAGAATACAAAATATCTAGTTTTAATAAAAGAAAATACTTCCCGATGAATTTTACCTTGCGATCAATTGACGCTGCGATAAATTTACGTACGATCTATTGTCGCTGCGATCAATTTACGTGCAATCAATTGTCGCTGCGATCAATTGTCGCCGCGATCAATTGTCGCGTGCGACCAATTGTGCTGCGACGAGTTGCTTGCGATCAATTGTCGCGCGATCAATTGTTTGCGACCAGTTGTCGTAGAATCGACGGAAACATACCCTAGGGGTCATGAAACGCCGAGAAAATATGAAAGTAGCCATGCGTCGGATGGATCCTAATACAATACTTCTTTAGATTACGCTCAAAGTAAAAATAACTATAATGCAATCACCCAATGTTTATAATGTTTTGCAAATTTTAAACGGGGTGTATCAGGCAAAATTTGACGATCACGTCATATTTCTGCAAGGAGGGAGAACATGAAGTTTGATTAGGGTAAAGCGACTTTCTCACAGCAATTTAATCCTAGCAGTTAAATCGCTGCTGCGAAATACATGGATATAATGTGCAGAACCACAGAAGGGATCAAAATGCAACGTGGAGCGATTTAGTCGCCTGTGTCAATGTTTTCGAAGCACTGTGGAATGTTCTTGGCGTTAAATCGGAGCTAGAAAAAATTGGTCGAAGGTAAGCTAAGGAAGAAAGTATTGTAGTCGAGGCCATCGAGCGACTAAGTGCTTCCAATTTTTCTCGATGAGTCATGAGCCCTAGAGTACGAAAAAATGGGTGCTCGTTTCCGTCCGTTTGTCTGTCCGTTGGCTGTGTCGTTTTATTTATACAGAAAACCTCCGAAAATACCGGCCCGATTATTACGGTGAAATTTGATATGTGTATTATAAATATCATATAGATGGCAAAACGCTACCAAATTTTGTCTAATCATCCCTACCAACAGTGTGATAATATCAACTCAAAATTGTATACAGAGTGACTGCGAAATATATGCAATAATTTTAACCACGGCATCCCCCACCCTAGTAGAGTCGAAATATAGAAAAAACAAATTAAAAATCGAATGGGGCAAAACCCCCATGAACCACCCTCGATACGAAAGCACTGAGCCACCTTATAAACAGAGTTGGAAAAACGTTCGAATAAAAACAACGTAAATACTTTCAGAGTCAATGAAAAGTAAAACCGACTTTTTGCTGCTTATCATTCGTTTATTCATTTATTCATTCATCGTTAAAGGTCAGTGAGAAAAATTTTTTGGTAATGCTTCATGATGATCAACTTCAAAAAATTAATTAAAATTTTGCCGAATTAATTCTACCAAAACGCCAAAATATTGTGAGTCTTAACTTGTGATTTATCACTCTTCATATTTTTTTGTTTTTTTTAATTCAAATTAATGAAAGCATAAATATACCTATTTTACTGATTTAATCAGGAACTGCAAAACCGATTGCTTTGAAATTTTGGAGATGTTTGAAGTTATCATAAGCATGGTAAATTTTTGATCAAAGTGTATTTGATGATCCCCCCCTAAAAATTGATGACGTCACTCCAAAATGTTGCTGAATAAATTCTATCTTAAATGTAAAAAATATGATCAGTCTTACTTGTGATTTATCACGGCATTAATATTTCTTAGATATGCTTATGCAGGGTGTCTCAAAAAAATTAATTACTGATTTCCGTTTGCACGAAGCTTTACGTAAGCTTTGCTTAACTAAGAAGTGTTTAATTTTAAGTGGGACTTATATTGTTTGTCTACTGCACAATCGTTGCTTATCCGTGACTTAATAAAGCAATGCTTAGTTAGTGAGTTTAATGGAATGCGGACTTCTATTGGCAACACTGGCAACTGAGGTATCTTCAGCGCATGATCGTAACATGATTGGCAACAGCGACCGAGCATGCGCTCTTTCATTTCTTATTGTTAAGCAGAATTTTAGAATTTAAGCCGTCACTACCTGCCGGCTTAAAATAAGCCCCTCTTATGCCCATTTGCACCAACGTTAGCGGTAAGCATTGCTTAGCTAAGCAATTCTTAAAAGTAACTACTTCTTAAATTGTACAGTTGTTGCACCGTCGCCGCTTAGACTCTACTTAAGGCTGGCGTCTGGTTCGGTTTAGCCCTATACTAAATACATTGAAAACATCGTCGCGGTTTCCGGAGTTGCAGTTTAAAAATATGAGATATATCGCTTTAAAGAAATTATATTTCGAATTAACAAACTTCAGTCCAGGGGACCTCCATATTTATATTCATATCTAGTATGCAGTTTTTACAAAAAAAAATTATAAAGTTGAACAACTTTTACATCACATTTTAACCGGCACATTGATGCATTTTTTGACGAAGTGCTGAAGTTTTTTGCATTCTGAGATAGGGGAAAAGTGTCAGCTTTCTTTTGATACCATTTATAATATTAAAAAATCCACGACTGAGGTAAATAACTCGCGAAAAGTCAAAATCTATTGAAACGAGAAATCGGCATTAAACGAGCTGTGATGCGGTAGCAGAATGCAGGTTTACTTAGATTCTGACTTGGTTGGAGATTTCAGTATTTTAAAAATGCAATTTCGGAAACTACGACGATGTTTTCAATGTATTTAGTATTGGGCGAAACCGAACCAGACGCCACCCTTAACCAAGTAATACTTAGTTGGGGAATTGTGTAAACGTTTCATTTCTATTGGCAACACTGACGCTTGTTTGTATAGAAACGTCAAATATTTTAGGTTAGTTTGTGAGCATGCTGCGGCCACTTGGTTTACGTCATCAAAACAGTCCTCTAATTTTCCGGCCATTCACTAGAGGCGCCAGTGTCGAATTTTTAAAAATGGCGCTTATAACCACGTGTTTCTCAACCAATCACCAGTACTAGCTTATTACTACCACGTGCCGAATTCTCCATGCTCATTTCCTGAGCTCACTTTTATTTGAAATCTCGGGTTCTGAGGTTGTGTTCACGTGAGTGTTCTGTGGTGTTCATTGTGTTTATTTATTTATTTATTTATCTACAAATTTGCGATAAATAATTGTATCATTCCGTGTGGGAATTAGGTGAGTTGTGGTTATTTATTTGAAAAGTAATTTAAAAGTGTATTTGTTTTCAGTTTTACTACGTATTATTATGTATAATAAAAGCCGTAAGTGTTGTGTACCTGGATGCAGATTTGAAGGTACTGAACGTTTTCGTTTGCCAAATCCTCGCAAGGAGGAAGCAATGTTACGAACATGGATCAGCATTATCGGCGGCGATCTTTTGCAAATGTCGTTGGAAGATATTTACAACAAGAAAAGAATTTGTAAGTGTCATTTTACTGACAATTATTTTAATCCAGGGTGCAAGGGTCTTTTACGAACAGCTGTACCAACTTTGTATGTCCCAAGTAAGTATTACTACATTTAAAAAAACATTCTTAACTATTCCGTTATTGTAGTGTGCATGAAAGACACCGAAAAACGTACTTTTGATGATGCCTTTGTGGAAGAATCATCATTTTCCGTGTGTACTCCTTCAGCAAAGAAAATTGGTAAGATACTATAGATGTCAATGAAATAGTTAATGTTAACTTTACAACATTAATAACAACAATTTATCACTGATCACCATAATAGTAACTCCTACTTAATAATTACTGCTTTATTCCAGCTACCGATGTTACAGTGGACATTGTAGATCCTAATTTGGAAAATGCTGCTGTAGATATGTCCCCTGCCCCCACGACTCCCACAAAAAGTAAGTGAATGAAATAACTTTATTCTTCTGTATTATGATTTTTATTTTCATTAGATCAAGAATTGCAAGGCTTGTTGAAAAGTGTCGGTGTTAATAAAGCTATTCATTTGACACCAAAAGCATCAACTTTGTACCAGGCAGCTACATCGTTGAAGAGAAAAGTACAATATTTGCACAAAAAATGCAGGGGTTTCAAAAGCAGGCTAGCAGCAGCTACAAAGCTTTCAGAAAGTGAAGCTTTTCAAAGAGTTGCTAGCAATATGTCGGTAGCTGCAAAATTATTTACCAACCTGCAGATGAGAGAAACTCACAAAAAATCCAGGGGAAGGCGATTTAGTCTCGAGGAAAAAATTTTATCACTGACAATGTATAAACAAAGTCCTAAGGCATATCGTTTATTGCAGAAGCTTAAAATTTAAGCAGCCGTTAGCGTATACATTTACGGAAGGCCCAACTAAGACTCCAGATCTCATGAGGATGATAAAAGAAGTGGTACGTGAAGTTAGAAAAACAGGTCTGAATATTATTTGCACTATATGTGACCAAGGAACTTCCAATGAATCTGCAATAAAAAAATTATTAAAATCAACCGAAGAAGAGTATATACGGAAGGGTGATGAATGGAGAGGATTGTCATTTGAAATTGACAGCATTCCTATTATACCCTTGTTTGATCCTCCTCATTTACTTAAGGGAATAAGAAATCATTTGCTGGAGAAGGATCTGGTATGTACAATTGGTGGGAAAAAGTTAGTGGCGAAATGGGTGCATTTGCAACAATTATTTGAAGCTGACCCAGGAGCAGACAATATTAGAGTGCTGCCAAAGTTGTCAGCAACACATGTCCAACATGAAAAAATCAAGAAGATGAAAGTCAAACTGGCCGCACAGGTATTCAGTCAACGAGTATCAGCTATAATGCGAAAGTTTGCATGTAAGTTTACCTCACCTAATTCCTTTTCATTTTTGAAAATATATATTTTGAAAACAAATTTTCGAGAGGATCTTGATTCAATATTCTTGTTTGCAAAACTTCACGAGTCGTCCAAATAAGTCTAATTCCACGAATGATATTCAACAAAATCTTCTTTAAAAGGCATAGTTGTTTTAAACTGATTGCGTAGTTATTTTTTCATTTTATCCCAAAATTCAAAATGAGAAGATTTCTTAGTTAAATTACATATTGACTGGATTACAATGATTTTTGCACAATAGTTAATAATTCAGACTTTTTTGTTGAGACCTTATTTTTTATTAAAAAAGATAATAACTTTGCAGTTAGATCTATTATCTTCATTACTTTGTATTTGACTAGTGGGACTGGATCAGTATCGAAGAATTTTAATTTATTATTACTAATATTACAAGTGTAAGGTTCTCTTATGCATTGCGAAAATTATATATATATATATATATATATGTGTATAGTATATAGATTTTATATATATAGATTGTAATTAAATATTTCGTAAGATTAATTTACTTTTACAATAGTGTATTTGAATTGTCTCTCTCTTTTTTCCACATCATTATTTGTTCATGAAATTTATTATAATTATATAATAGTAATTATTGTAAAGAATTGTTACAATAGTATGACATATTATTTTTATTTGTGGTAAGTCTGGTTTATAATAAAATTGTTTTAATAGAAATGTTGTTTTAATGTCATCGATTTACTTCCATGTTATCGGTATCTATTAAAAGGGGTTCTCAGGTTTGGCGCTTATGGATTGTCCATACATTTTCAGAATATATCTGTGTTGTTAGAGACAAATTAAGAAAAGATTTAAAATTTCATTACAATAACAACAAGTGTGTTAATAACGGAGATATTATATTTTGAAAATGTATTGACAATCTATAAGCACCAAACCTGAGAACTCGCCTAACAGTGACTGCTGAAATATTTTAAATCCAGCCATTTCCCGCGTTTTGTAAATAATTTTGCGGCCAGCTGCAAGGGGTCGCTGCTAACGCTCTGTTTCAAAATTAATCAAGGAAGTACGCCATCTATAATACCCCTCCCTTATCTATGGTTTGTGAGTGTGTAGTTCGAATAGTGCTGATATTTATTTTCTCTAACGTTGGTTGGGTGTTTAATAAAAAATGGGCTTAGAAGACAGTCAAATACCAGGTCAATATTGTTCAAAACCGGGGGACGGGAAATTAATTTAGAAAAAGTTTTATAACTTTTTTTTTGGGAAATTCATAATATTAACAAATCTATGCTATATTACTTTTTAATTTGATATTTTATTACATTTCCATGTTATTACGTTTAAATTTATTTTGCTGCTTCTTTTTTATTTCAATGTCTAACTCTAAAATTCGCTTTCGCACCTATAATTCCATATTTTCTCTTCCTATTCTTGTTCAGTTGTACCTCAAATAACTGTAGTTTCTCGCTCCCCTCTGGCGCTTTTTATTGTTCATATGAAAAATAGTTATTTATGCAACTAGTGCGTAAAGTGTATATTTTTTTCACGAGATGGAAAATTTGCCGCACGAATGTCTTCCTTTAAAAAATGACACGCTACGACACTTTTTCATTTAAATGCGTGAAAAAATGAAACACTATGACACGCTTCTAGTGCCATGAAATAAACGTATCCTTTATAAACAAAAATTAATAAAAAATGTTCCACTTTTTACGAACACGAAAAAAACATGTTATTCTTTACAACAAAACATTGTAACTGTGGTACATACCTCCTTTATATTTATTTTTAAATTGCTAATGCCCATTTGCACCAACGTTTAAGTCAGGTACTTAAAATTTAAGCTTTTCTTAAAACTAAGAATGCGTTGCACCAACGGTTAACTCTCTCTTAAAGCCTTCTAAGAAATCCTTAATTTAAGTGCCCGTTTACCTGTGGCTTAAATTTGTAAGCAGTGCTTAACGAGACACAACGATACAACGCATGTGCGGTAGCCATAGTAACGGAACAATACTTCGTTTCTATTGGCTGATGGTTTTGGAAATCGAAAATTTGCAATTTTGCAATCCTTTTAGCCATTTCAACCTTTCAACAGTAGCAGCGTTCGTGAGTGTTTTGTAATCAGCGGTGAAAAGTGTGGAATAAAGTTCTAACAAGACAAAAAATAATATAAAGAAGATATGTACCACAGTTACAACGTTTTGTTGTAAAGAATTATGTACATATGTTTTATTTTCAGATGAATAATACAAAGCGCCAGAGGGGAGCAAATTTTACGGCAGATGAAAAGACCTTTGTCTTAACATTAATCAGTCATTAATAGGAGGAGGCCAACAATAACAGCACTACATTCCAGCCATTTGTCGAAAGCTTACGACGAACTAGCTACAAAGAAAATGGAGTTAGTTGAGGCACAACTCGAAGGACAAAAACATGACGAAGAAAGAAAGCAAGTTGAATTTTTGCTTCGAAAGCAAATTTTAGAATTAGATATTGAAATAAAAAAGGAGCAGCTGAGAAAACTGAAACAGGATAATACGGAAAAACAATAAAATATAAAATAAAATATTAATAAAACATTTATTTGTTAAATTTATAAATTTCCAAAAAAATTTGTTATAAAATTTCTTCTAATTTCACTACCCCTCCTTTGGTTGTCAATAACATTGACCTCTGATATTTGACCATCTTCAATAAGTCGCTGCAGTTCATGCTGGTTAATGTCAGCTGGGAGAGGAGGTTCATCTTCACCCATTTGTCGAGCTATATTATGCAGGACTGCACACGCAATTACAATACTCAAAACAGTTTCTTTTTTTAATCGACATCCACATGCTAGCACAGGAAATCTTCGTTTGCAGACACCAAAAGTTCTTTCGATGACATTTCTTGTACGAATATGAGCTTCATTATACAACTGCTCTTCTTGAGTGTGTGGATTTAATAATGGTGTAAAAAAATAGTGTCTTACACCATAGCCACCATCACCTGAAAACAAATGCAATGTATTTTTACACATTAATCTTTCCGATTGCGAAAAACTTCAGCATTTTCTCCACCTTAAAAACGTTCCAATGAAAAGAATGTGTTTTTGGTTTTTTAAATCTTTACCTGGTGATTCAATTTTGATGAGTGCAATCAATGGCCCCAATCACTCTAGGGAATCTCGCGATGTCAAAAAAACCATTTTGAATAAGCCTTTGCTCCATGAGAGTTTGGGGCATCTTAATAAAACGCAGGTAAAGTCTTGCTATAGCGTCCGATACACGTCTAATTATTCTCGACACAGTTGAGATGTGCATTCCCATATAGTCCGCTACTGTACTCAAATGGCCCCCGCTTGCAAAGAATCGTAATGTAGTAAGCAGCTGATTTATAGGTGACACCGCCTGATTTCTGTAATGATCAAATCATAATATATTTACACATTAAATTTTTTAACCACTTTTACCTGTCTGTAGGAAATTCCAAGCGTTCTTCAATTAACGTTAATAAATGTAAAACTGTTGGTTTTGTTAGTCGAAATCTTTGGAAAAATTGAAGCTCTGGTAAACCATAGAAATGATCAGCTCTAGTGTACATCTGCCGTGGAATTCCCATCTCAACAATTTCAATGACTTCTAAGTCATCCTCGTACGCGTCGAACACATCCATTTTTTAAACACACATTCAACACCACATAAAATTAATTCAACAATATCACAACTACACACGCGCGGTGTCAATGACTGTCGTACACACAACAAACTAACCTAAAATTTTTGATGTTCCAATAACAACAAACGTCAGTGTTGCCAATAGAAATGAAACTTTTACACAATTCCCCAACTAAGTATTACTTGGTTAAGTAGAGTCTAAGCAGTGACGGTGCAACAACTGTACAATTTAAGAAGTAGTTACTTTTAAGAATTGCTTAGCTAAGCAATGCTTACTGCTAACGTTGGTGCAAATGGGCATAAGACTTTATTTTACACTTCAGATACACTTTTGAGCACTGATAATTTTTAAAATTGGAAATTTTCGATTTCATGTAATCACCAAAATTATTATCCAATAGCAATAAAGTGTTGTTCTGTTACCATGGGTACCGCACATGCGTTGTATCGTTGTGTCTCGTTAAGCATTGCTTACAAATTTAAGCCTCAGGTAATCGGGCGCTTACATTAAAGATTTCATAGAACCCTTTAAGAAAGATTTAAACGTTGGTGCAACACATTGTTGGTTTTAAGAAATTCTTAAATTTTAAGTATCTGACTTAAACGTTGGTGCAAACGGGCACTTTAGAACACCCTAATAAGAAGCGGTTTCAAGTTTTTAACTATTGCTTAAATTTTAAGTACAGTTGCAATGCGTTGGTGCAAACAGACATGAGTCTATTTATTTATTGATGAAATATGAAATCAGGAATTACAAAACTGAATCCTAAATTAATAATTTTTTAAAGTATATTAACATTTTTAAATTTATAGTTGATTTTGACGCATTCTGTTTTGCTGTACATTTTTTCTGTGGCATTTTTGGTACAACTGTGTTACGGAAAACAAAGTAGGTAAATAAGATAAAATGGTTAGCAACCCAAAATTATTTAGATATTTAGGGAAAGAAAAGAACGTACACGTCACCACTTTTTTCGGAGTGCAATGTGTATTATTAGTGCCATGCTTTTAGCTCTCCTACTTTACTGAACCTCTCTATTTTCCATAAACTCCCTGCTGAAAAGCGGGCTGTTTTGGATGTATGTTCAAACGGATCTCCTCTGACGTACAGATTTGTCATATCGAATTTATAATGGAACTGTCAGAATACATCGATCCCTTCGAAAATGCAACGTTTTATAACGTCGCCTCTTCACTTGTAATGAAAGCTGATAGGTATTTTATGCCACTTTCTATCATCAAATTCTGTCGAGTTCAGTACACAGCGAATCCCCGTCAGCAACCTTGTCAATCGTAATACGAATTTCAAATTGATATGCATTTTTCACACTCAAGGATTGAAAAATTTTACTTACAGAACGCTAATTTTGCGGAATACGAAAATTTGAACTCACTGATGAGAAAACCGAAGCTAAAACAAAGTATATCATTGAACATAAAATATCCTTAAATTAAATCTAATTGCTATGATAAGAATTCTTGCAGTTAGATACGTATAATGCTAATGAAAAAGGAGGGGTTACAAAATTTTAAAGTCGCAGACAGAACTTAACGGCAAAGTGGATTCCCACTAATAGCCTATGTTTGATTTGTCAAAATTTTGAGGCCTTAACCACTGCACTTAAGTGTCAAAACAGAGTGACAAATATAATGTGGATATGAACATCCACTTTACGTATAATAAGTGTTAACTTAATTTTTTACCACACTGAATTGTGACAAAACCACGTCGATGTATAGCGTACAACGTAATAATCTCCTGAAAAATTTTAAGCAAATGGCGTTTCTTTGTCGTTAAGTTTTGTCTGCGACTTTAACCTACCCGAAAAAGCAGGTCAAATATTCCAGTATTTTTCTGAACACAGTAGGTATATAGCACAAAATTCCATTTATCCAATTTTAAATATGTAAATTAAATTTCAAATTCTTTCAAACACGTGGAAATTTACATTTTGTGTTGCCAACTACACATTTTACGTTATCTAATATAATAAAACAAACAATAAAATGCTTAAATAATCTGGATGGTAGAGTAATTTGAAAAAGTAAACTCCGAGCTATGTTTATTTAGTAGATATGTGTATTTTAGCTGATCGAGTGTTGAATTTAGACGGAAATTGGTGAAACGGAATTGATAACGACCGCGAGCAAATCTGCTAACTTCATGGGTAAATAAATTTCCCAAGACATTAATATTTCTCGATTTGATTTATTCCCTTTAGTTGTCTGCATGATGGAGCGCAGCTACAAACTTTGTTTATATTTTAACAGAAAAAAGACTTGAAAATAAGTATTACGTGTAGCACCGCCAACTCTAATATTTTATATTATGTATCAACCTTAACAAGTTGTAATGCGTAATATACAGGAATACAAATGATTGTAGTCAACTTGGCTTTCAAAACAATAAACTTTTTGCTGTTGTCGCTCCATAATAAGATTCGAAGTAATTCAAACTATTAATTAAATGTTATGATATGTCATTGTATTTGAAGTTATCTTTAAAAATAAATGAAATATTCGTTAAGTATTTAGACCTAACTGCACCGCGTTCACTTAGAAGTGTTAGGTAATTAAATTCATTCGTGTCCGTGCCCCCCCTGCCCCGTGTGTTCGTATAGTTTAAAAAAAAAAATGGTCTAACGTTGTTTCGACAGAACGTCCTTCGCTCCTGAAAGACAATGAAACCCAGCATTTTCGAAAAATTATAAAATTTGATTTTGCAATTTTATTTGTTTTATGGAACCCTTATAAGTTGAAATAAACATATGTAGATATGTAATGTAAATGTAAAGATGCGTGTTACGTGTATGCTTCAAATGAGATTTTCCTTTACAGAATTTTGTGATGACCTCATTAACATTTTTGTAACGTGTATCAAGTTGGATTGGTGCAGTTTAATACTAATAATAACAGTAGGGGAAAAGGCACACACATTCGGCTACTTTTTATATTTTATTTTATAATTTTCAATATACAGGGTTAGTCACGAGAAAATTATTTCTGAAAATTATTTTTACGCAACCCAAAATACTAATACCCCGTATCACTTGATACTATCTGAATTTAAAACAAAATGCTTAATCCATGATTGCTTTGACTTTGGCAGTGTCCGTTTGACGTTAGTTAATTTTTACATTCTTCTTCATCGTGTACTTCGCTCTGCAACCCCATTGGATCGACGTACTTCTCTCAATCTGCGCACTTCTGAAGCCGTAAGTACTCTAGCAATATTTTTCCCCGCTAATGAGCATGTGTTAGTTCGCCATTTCTGCGTCAACTAGAGCCTCTTCGAAGTACAAATCTGTAGACTCTGAGCCTCTTCGAGCACCTATTTACAAAAACGCCGTAGCATCCCCCCAACATGCCAACATTTTCAACAGTTGTTGCAGTAGTTAAATTTTTTAATTACTCTTTCAAGTTTACGTTGTATCCTTTGAATAAAATATCGTAAAAGTAATTTTTAGAAATAATTCTCTCATAACTCTAAAATCAAGAGGTACTCGAAGCAAGCCCTAACAAATTTATTAGCGGCGCCAGCGTAGTCTATCTCCGAGTGGCTACGGTACGACCGTGGACACTAGCGTAACCTCCTTTCCGGAATTGTCAAAATGACACTGCCAAAAGTGCCAAAGTCAAAGCAATCATGGATTAAGCATTTCATTTTAAATTTAGTTAGTATCAAGTGGTACACGTTATTAGTATTTTGGGTTGCGTAAAAATAATTTTCAGAAATAATTTTCTCGTGACTAACCCTGTATAAGAAAAAATCAACTTTTGCCAATGTATACTTCTAAAGTAAACCTTTTGCTATATTCTCGTTTTTTTCTAGGTTTTTATTTAATACGTTTTAAGTAATAAAGGGCAGTTTTTACAAACATTGCAATTGGGCAAATCTACCCCACACCTGATGTATGTTTCGGACCCCCATTTTTACCTATTACCTTTGTAATATAATCAGTCTATTATTGTTAAGTTATAATCTCTAAAGTTAATAAGTCGAATTCCCAAGTTTCCACTGTTTGTATTTAATGTTTGTGTTCAGTGACTATATTTATATTTGATAGCTAATAATTCTTCATGTGACTGTTATCAGAGATCAAGTATTGTACTTTCTTTGTTTAAAACTATTATAAAAGTGTTAGCAGTATGAACGCAGGGATCAGTATTTCATCAATAAGATATTAATATAAACGTCGATAGTTCACAGTGCCCGTGTCGGTAGAATTTGTAATCACGACATAATCAAGAACTTGTAGATCTGGTTTAAGTTATTAAACTTCCCCACGTGAGTAAAATCATCTGGTGAATAAAAGTGTCTTCTGGCAAAATTGAAAGAACCCTTTGTTGTGGTCGAGGCTCACAACAGGTACTTTCGACCGGTAACTGGGGTACATTCGTCCAGATGCCACAATAATTTAAAACAAATTAATATGGTGTCGAATATGGCATTTGACAGGTTAGACCACTTCAAATTACTGAAGAAGCTTGATAGTTTTGGTTTATCAGATGCACTTGTTAAATTGTTTACTTCGTACTTGATTGGCAGAACACAAGTTGTAACTTCAAGCGGTTTTCAATCTTTTGAAATTCAAGTCACTTCTGGAGTACCACAGGGGTCCATTCTTGGGCCTCTCTTTTTTATTATCTTTGTTAATGACATCGATAAGGACCTGAATTCAGAATGTCTTTTATATGCTGACGATGTAATGTTTTTTAGAAAAATATTAACATTCTCTGACCACGTAATGCTCCAAGAAGATTTAGCCACAATTGAGACAAGATGTATCCAAAATCGATTGTACTTGAACATTTCGAAATGTAATGTCATCATATTTTCATTAAAGTTATATAACAACTCGTATGATTATAGAATCGGTGACACCAGTTCGAACCGCCTTTCTTTCGTGAAAGACTTGGGAATTACGTTTGATAAGAAACTCTCTTTCACTGCCCACTACGATTTCATTCCATCATCCGCAATAAAATCTGGTAACCTTGAGGAGTACTCAGGAACTGAATGTAAGCTTATCACTCTATTATCAAAGGATTCACGAAAAAAAATTCAAATTGTTTACTGTTGTATGTGCCGTGGCACCCTCATGTTAAAAAAATCCGTCTGGAAGTTCACCATCCTGTAATTTTTGGAACAAAAGCAGTTAGGGTATTGTTGGATCCAATGACACGTTTGCGAGATATTGCGCACCTTACACCAAATTTAACAGGATGGAGTGGTATTTCACGAAAGATATATGGATTTTCGGCAGTCCAACATCTTATATTTTGAGAGTTAACATAACCTA